GTCTCTGCATCGTTCTCGGTATTTCAGTGTCAAACGGGGAACATAGCGGAAACAGTGGCGTATTATTTTTAACTGGTTATAATTTATTTTGAATGGTTCTCGATAAAACAGGCTCACATACCTATTTAAAACCACTGAACCTTAGAATCATCAATCAGTGAATATTGTTGCATGTCAGTTAATCAACTAAATAATCACACGATGTGGTAAGTGATTCGTCTATTTGTGGGGAAGAGGCACATAGCATGACTGTAGATTGGTGAGCAGTAAAATGCGTTAACATACAAGCAGTTTGACAACCGAAGGAAAACGCCAGAGCAGGTTAACAGCTTAGACGTAAATTTGCTCTAACCCATAGGCCAAATGCAAACCGGTTTGTACCTTTGCAATTCCAAGTGAAACCGTTATAACTTCAGGTAAATCCGCCGTAAATTCAAAAGAATCCAACCAATCGCATTCTATGGAACCCCGCAGAGTGATCGGTGCTTCATTCGTCGCGCGTCACCGACTGGATCAGGTCTATTGAAACCCTGTCCAGTGAGAATGAAATGATTTTTCCGTCAACAAACAAAATTACTTTTTTAGTGAGGATGTGGGTCGGGTTTTGACTGTCCGCCAACCCAGGAAAGTTATGGCCTTGGCGGTTGACCGAATAGACCATAGATGAGAATGAACTAATCCGGCATTATTTCACCTCGGTCAGCCGGGCAAGGAAACGCGAATCACGTCAAGATGGTGTGTGTACACGTCTTCCCGGATTGGCTTTTGTCTGTTTACGTTCAATGAGTCAATCGGTAGACGATCAGATGGCGCATAAATGCGCGTGCGTGTATGTGAAGCTAATCGACATTCACGGCCAGTCGATAAGACTTCTTGCGGATCTCGAATTACGCGCTCGACTTCCTAGTGTTTCGTTGCCCGAGGTAGACAAAAACACGCGTTTTTGTCGTAGAAGTTTATTGGCGTATCGTGGTACTAGAAAGTACCGAATACGTGCCTGTGACGACTAAAAGATCCAGATAAATAAATGCAGAAGCAAAGCGAAACCGTGTCACACGTGTTGCATGGGTTTGCACAGGACCCAGCTTATATACACCTGAGCGGAAAATTGTGCTCAGTCAAACACAAGCAGTGGAGTAAACAGAAAGAAAAATCACAGTAAGATTCAAGGTTGGTTGTGAAGAAAATATGAACGGAAAACGTCCTCGTGGATTGCTCCTTTTCTTCGTACAATCATCGTCAGTACATATATTCGCAAGTGAATGACCTGATCAAGCACAATATCTCTCCCCTTTGAATGAAGGAAATCTATAGCATATCCTAGGTTTACCTATCTACTACCTGCGGCAGGGACTCTTGGCGGACGGTATACTCAGTGTATGAACGAAATAGCCTTCGATCAATCAGTTGAAGCACTTTTTATTTGCAAAGAATACGAGATAACACTATCCTCTGAGGTAGTATGCAGCATCCTAACATTAACGAACTCTTATTTGTTTAACGTGGTCCGAAACATGTAGACTGATGTATCTCATTTCATATCGGACACAACGGGTTGTTTACCAGGTTATTCACAGGTTATCTTGGCAAATAGATTGTGATGATTCAAAGGTGGCTGTCACCGTTAAGTTTCCCTGGAAGTCATGAGATTGGACCATTTCTGAGCACGTCCCCATGTATCTCATGATTGAAAAGCCCTTTCCATGTCTGCTTCCTCCTCCCGAAAAGGGGCTTTACAGGTATGTATTCTATCCTTGACTATCTTTCACCGGGACTCAGAGAGCACCAACAAAGAAATCCTGTCTTAGAAACTAGCAACCACTTTGGTGATTCATATGC